CGGTGGATGAGAATTAACACGATTCACTACAATCCAATCAATGAGCTCGTAACATTTCATTCAGTCTTCTAGTAATTCATGCGAGTTAGGGATTGACGTCGTTTGGCGTCCCACGACGTATTTCGCACACACTAACCGAATGCTTAAGACGAGGCAGCAGGTTATGCCTTCGTAAATTGTCGTCATCTTCTGCCTCAACACTTCGAATTTATCGGCAGCGAACTAACTTGTCAATTTGGCAGCAGCGAAACATTCTTTAGCAAAGTCACTCAAACACACCTTCAGTCTGATGGGTGGCTTTGTGAGTGTACACATACGCAGTGTTAGCAAATGCTGCACGCACACAAGTCTTGATCCACGGGGGGTTATCTACTCTAGTTCGCACTTCATCATCAACATTTTACACAAACACTGCACATAGTAAGTAAGTACAATGTGAGGCACTTGTTGTCAGCGATGTGAACACGCCAATAACTTCAGCAATCAATGTTGTGGAAGGGGGCAACACGTGCACTGCACTCACGCTGAAGGTATGCTCGAAGTAATCGAAGCGCAGCAATGAACAGGCATCACACACGCACACACAATTGACCTTGACTCCTACCAATGAACACAACGACGTGTGGTGATTAGAATGTATAAAATGGGAGGAAGTAGAGCAACCTGGTAAGCAGTACCACGAGCATGATCGCAGTTCTCGCCTTGGTCGCAATTTGCCTCGCCAGCTTCACAGAAGGTAAGCGGACGAATGCAATTGGTCAGTTTCTTGTGCATCACCTCACACTGATACGCCATTTGGAAAGTATTCAGAGCAGGCAGCATATCCTCTTGTGAGATACACTACAAATGTTTTAGTAATATTGGCCATTTGTCTTAGACAGCTGGCATCGTCCACTGCTGTAGCACTCATCGTTCTAATGCTTTGTACACATAAGTAGATTTCTCTGATGTTTAGTGCTCAGAGTGGAACAAAGAAGGCTAAATTGTCCAGGGTAGATGCTACAACTCGGTGTTAATATTTACGGCTTTTATTCTCTTTTCTCTCTCTCTTTGACTGGTTAAGCCATCACCAGTCCCTGCTATCTGCCCATCGAGCGGGGAATGTGTATGGCACACATGAAGAGGTGGGCCTATGACGCAACAACGGGTCTATGCGTTCCCTTCGTGTACGGTGGCTGTGGTGGCAACGCGAACCAATTCAAGTCAAAAGCGGCTTGTAGGAAAGTGTGTAAGGGCATGTAATTCGCTTATACCAAATGGAGGAACTTCAACAACAACTTTGTAGTGCTTAGATTCGATCAAATAAATGCATTGTTTTCTTGCTTCTCTCCTGTTATCTTGTTGGTGGATGCACTTAGTGTTTTGCCTTGTGCTTGTCCCGTCGTTTAGATGTCTGTTAGTCAGTGGTTTGGGGATGTTGTCTATGCGTGCATTGAAAGTCAGAATTAAATACAGGTGTCAGTCACACTGGTCGGCGTTGATTGAAGATACTTAGTCGTGCATCAACACCTCACTTGACTACCGCAAGCATCAACACTCGGAAGCAACGACACCAGATGTTGCATCTTACTTGGTATTTCATCTATTTCTCCTGCATGCAGCTTGCTGCATACGTCCTCCAAAGTAATAAATTTACTGAGACACAAGTAAAGTATTCTCTTAGGTGACATTCAACCCTGCTTGTTTTACCCAATAAGGTTCTACATTTTGCTGACAAAACAGTCTTCTACGTTGAACTTCCATGAACGAGAGACAATTGTTTGCGCTGAGAGAATACGCAGGATGCATGTCACATCAATGGTATTCACTTCCTTCAGCAAAACGTCGTTTCAAATTTGGCAGCATCACACTGCCAATGTCATCTGTTTGCTCTAAGCTGCACGCTGAATGACCCAATCTGATGTGCTGTCGCAACAAACTGCCATCAGTCCCCTATCGAAGTATGTAATAATTTGTATTAATTGATTTCTGTGTAAAAGTGCAAGTGCGACGTGGCACATTCGGAGCCTGCAATTCTGTGCCCTGCAGAAATGTTCGATTAAACGTGTGACAACCTCAGTGCCAACAAATGCTTACGAGTGCTGTCCACTGTTGTCAATGCTAGACAAACGAGTATTCACTATTGTCGAAATCGAATTTCGGTGAGAGCAGTTTATACACACACGACACAGCGCAATGTAACAGAACAGGATGTTTGCTGAAAGGCGCAGAATTGTGGCTGTTTCTTGTTGAAATAACTTATATGAGTTGTGAAACATATATTTCCATACAGTCGCAGCACATCTGTTCGCTTATAGCATGCGTGTGTGTGTGCATCTGTCCTAATTCGGCGGATGTGTGCCCACCATGCCCGTGGAAATTGTACTACTAAAGAATTGTCCTGTGTGCGAACGGCTGCAATGTTACCTGTAAATGTTGTGAGTGAAAGAGGGTGAACCGACCAGATACTATGTAGTTTCGTATCTGGACGTGCATTGTGGTATGGTAGGGATATGAAAAGAAGGAAGCATCAGGCAGGAGTCAGGTAGTGTTAAGATTAGGCAAACAAACGCGTCTACCACTGCAATTAGCGGTAATCGTTTCTTCATTGTCTGTAAAGATTGGAGCTGGCTGAACCTTTAAATTTGTTGCTTGGCTGCGTCTTTGCGTCGAGGAAGGCTGTTTTGATGAGGTCAACATTTACGGAGTCTTCCTTTTCATTTCGTTCGACGATGAAAACTTTCCTTCTCGTCTAAGTATGCTGATAGGTCCATCGTAGTTGGGTTGAAGTTGACGACAAATAGCATCGTGCCTGATGTAAACATGAGTGCAATAGAACGGTGCTCTTAGGGTGCAGTTTGAAGGTTGAGTTGATTCAGTTTGCTCATTACCTTACTCAAACCATCGACATAGCCGCTTGTGTCCAGCCATAACGGTGAGGATGTTGCCGTGAACAAGTGCCTAGGGATTCGCAATGCTGTTTTGCTTTAGTGACGAAGTGCTGACCGAGGTGATCACATGTCCATCGGCAGAATGCGACCCAAGATTTCTGCTAAAACATTGAAACCAAATATGTGACCCACTTCACTTGCCTTCACAGTCTTTAAACAATATGCATTGGCACATTTACAAATTAATATCGCGCCCACTTAAACTAGACTGTCCACTACACTAGAACTGTCCAAGAACACACGCCAAGCAAGAGTAGAAGGCAAGGTAAGCATTATGAATTGTAGGTCGTGGCAATTTGCGCCTGGACTTGCAATCAGCCCAAGTGATACGGCAAATGACTGCCAATGACTGAAATTTGGTGTGGCACTTGATTACATGCCGAAGCATTGAACAATTTGCAAACACAGTTGGACTTTTCTCAATTACTTCCCCTAATGGCTAAATCGTCGAAAACACCCTCTGACAATGCTTGTTTGACCACATCAAATAGGATGCAGTGCTGTCTACTAGATCTAATTACACCTAATTCCCCTCAACCAACACGGAGGACGACCACAGTAATTAGGTACTTGAGTTAACGTAATGGTCGTTCAGAGTGAGCATCGCAGTTGCTCACTTCCTCGTAGAACTCACTTCTTCCGAAGATCGTTAAGTGTTCAGTCAGCAGGGGCCCTGTAAAGGCATCGCATTTAAGTTAGAAGAAACAAATTAATTTTCACTTCTCAACATTGCTAGTTCAAATGTGCATGCGTTGCAAGGACATTGCATAAGTGAAGCATGTTTCACCTGAGTATTATTTTCCGCATGGATGCTGTCACACTTGCTTACTGGAAAGTTTGCAATTAGGACATAAGTAAACACGGAAGATGTTT